TCCTCCATTAGCGGTAGCGGCAAGTAAAGCGTAACGCTGCAGATTTTATGTGGAATTTGTACGATTATACTAAGTAAAGGATAGGCAATTTTCGCTTACCCCAAACGTATAATAGCGCGCAGCCGTTGATCATCCACAAAGTTGTGTTGATTCAAATCGGGCATCGCCGTACGCAAAGTATAGTATTGGTCCAGTTTTCGTTTCGCCTTCTCCAGACTAAATTTGCAGCCACGCAGGAAGCTTACAAGAAATTGATCGCTCGTGCGGCACTTCAAATGTGGTTGCCTTAGCAACCATTCTCTCAATGCAGCGATGTCCACGGCCCGACGTTCGGGCACCTCATTTAATTCGGCAATTGCTTTTCGTTGTAGCGCAGGTGTTAGTGGGCGTATATCTAGCGTGGGCGTGGTCATTTTCGTTTTTTTTTTCACGACTTCGTTTACGTTAGAAATAGTTTTAAATGCTGTAGACACTGCCTGGATGATTTCCCGAGTACAGAAATATTACAAGTGAATTGTGTTTTTGATTAGATATTAGAAATATATACATACATATACACACATTAAAGCTTCACAGATAAACTTGTCGCGATAAAAATATGGATGTGTGTACATAGCGAATGCGATATTTTGTTCGTAAATATGTAGTACATGTTTTCCACGCTAGCGATCAATTGCAATACAAAATATGTACATACTTACACAGTTTATTAAATATGATCGCTTGTAGGCAGCGTGTCAGTAGAAAAATCGCAGTGTCAAACGTAGCGTGCTTTATTACACCCAGAAAATGGACTATAGATTTTTCTATTGAATTCCATTTACAGCCGTTTTGGCTGTACTTTTCGTTGATGCTGCACTCAGATAGAAGTCTGGTGACTGGAGGTCGTGAGGATGGACAGGATGTAGGCGGCTAGTGAATTTATGGACATCCAGTGGATTTGCAGGCGGCTGGAAGGCTGATCAATCGGCAGGCGGCTCGTGCACTGGCAGGCGATTGGCGTATTGTCAGGTGGCTGGTGGATTGGCCGACAGCTACAAGCAGGCGTTGTCGCAAAGGGTGTTAGCGGGGCGAACGTAGGCGTGCACTAGTTGGATGTTGGAATGATTTGCGAGTAGTAGGCCGCATCCCTTGGACCTGGGAGCATCCGTATTATGGCAAGCTTAACGCGTCGCGAGCAACTTACGAAACATTTTTAATTTTAAATAAGAGGTCTCGAAATTTATGTTTACACAACTTATACAACTTTATTTCAATCGTATAAAGTATTGAATTTGAGTTGGTTAAACACGATATACATAGATTGGCACAGCCGGCAGTCACGCAAACTTCAACCGGGAAAACAAAAGGAGATCGAGATCAACTAAATATTGTCGTTCGAACACCAACATAAGCAACGGAAAACGTTTTTAAAAATACAATAGCCTACCCCGAGACACAGCTTGTGTATTCAGCTTCTTTCACTGACTAACTGACCGTTTATTCCAATGATTCTATATTATTAATAACTTTTAAAATTTTTTACTTAAAATATAATTTCACAATGACGCGTTGGTATTGCATCAGTCAGTGGATTGGTGATTAGGGAAGACAAAAATATGCACAAAAACCTAATTACATTATCATTAAAATGACTCCAAAATATTAAAAATATGCTTAACGAAATTTTTTTCGCGATTATCGCATAAAAAGTTTTTGTACATACATACATACATATATGTATTGCAAATTAACGGTCCACGTCACAAGACTTTTTTGGACAGAATTTAAAAGATGACAATTCTCCAGGTGAAAATATTGCAACATTTTATTGAGCATATTTGTATACTTCGTGTATAAAAAATTGAGAAAAAACACTTGAAAGCATAAAATACCTTTTTTATAAAGAAAAATATTTTAAACAAAAAACCGATTTTTAAAAAGGCTACCAGAAAACTTATACTTTCTTAAATCCAAAAATTTCGTATGCACAAAAAAAAAATATATATATATATAAAAATTTTTTCCGTCTATGTAAACTCCTGCCTGCCCCCTAGATGAAAGGCTGGCTACGCCCTTGTATACAAAACAATTAAAGTATTTAAATCATAGGTATATCATACGGTCAGTTTGTTCTTTTAGAGCGCATACATGGTTCCATAATAAATGATTCCAGTATCTTCATTTATGTATATTGTAACTATCAATATCTTATAAAGAGAAGTGTAAATTCTTTTTCTCTAAAACTAATAAAGTTAGAAGGACGAAATTCGAAGATGTGGTAGTTAACATATTAGTCCTTGACATATATTTTTTTCAAAAATAAATATTGGAAATTTCCAAGGATATTCAACGATAAAGTTTTAAAACGACATTTTCAATACTTATTCGTCCTGGTGCACCCAAAAATTAAATTTTTCTATTAAATTCTACATAATTTTTCCTTTTCATTGAGACCCATATTGTTATTCCACAATGCACCGCATCTTTTGAATAATTTCTTTATTCAATCATATTCTAGAAATTTCAAAGTCCTTTTAAAAAAAATCCTGACGTCAGAGAGAAAACCTAAAATCGCAGTTTTACTATATTTGACCCCAGTTTTGTGAATATATTGATTTTTTTCGTGTGTAAAATTGACAGACGCACGGTGCTATCACAGCGCAAATATTCGGGCCTATGTCTGAAGAGGGTTCAGCTCTTTAGCCGTTTCGACCTAAACTAAGAAGCTCTTATCAGATGCCGCAAAGCAAGTGTACATTGGCTAGTAGAATAATAGAATTACACTTAAAAGCTTTCAGTCAAAAATCCAAATAGTAACGTCTCATCACCAGTGTTCCCATTAAAAAAAAGCTCCATGACAACTGTACCCAGCCGAGTTCAAAACAGCTGTCACTATCAGCCATTGCCATGAGTTTTACCTATCATCCCCCCAACTACTCACCCGGTCGAACTTCTCCGCCCGAATATCAAAAATATATGTGCATACTTATGTGAGGCACCACCTCCTCGACCATCAGTTGCTTAAAGCGCCTCAAAGCAAACGGTTAAGTGTGCTTGCGAAAGCAATTGGAAACGAGAAAATAATTCGCACAATCGAAAGAATAAATTATTTGACGTTTCTAAACAGACGCATTAAGTCTTACCTAATTCTTTAGTTTCTTTTTGTGCTTAANCGAGAAAATAATTCGCACAATCGAAAGAATAAATTATTTGACGTTTCTAAACAGACGCATTAAGTCTTACCTAATTCTTTAGTTTCTTTTTGTGCTTAAAAAGTGTAAAGTAGCTTAAG